CGCAGCCCCAAACCCCGCAGCTCCCAAACCTAAAGTGCGCAGCCCCAAACCCCGCAGCTCCCAAACCTGAAGCCGCATCCCTGAAACATACAAGGAGGTTCAAGGTGCTCTTGCAGCCGCAGAAGCCGAAGTCAAGACGGAGCCGGGATCGGAGAGCCAGGTGCAGGCGATGCAGAACCTTCATCAGGCACCGATTAAGGAGTCTAAGCGTGCATTTAGATCAGCTATTGTTGTTGCTGTCTATACACTGTCCGCCCGCGTATATAAGTCCCATGCAGGTGTAGCACGCATTGTAGATGTGCGTGCATGATTGTCGTGGCCCCTCCAGAATAGGCTGCTATCTCCATTTATGTGTATATTCTATGTTGCTATGATCTCCGGCAAACTTTTGATCCAAATCCTGTATGTGCCCATAGACTCGATCAGTTCAATCCTTTGAATTGACAGCATGCTAGTCAGATTCAGATGAGGTGAAGCGGGAACCAGGAACTGCGCCGGTCATGTCATCCGCTACAAGCTCGAAGCCGGCTTCTGCAACACCGAGCCCAACTCCAACAGGGAGCCCACCTTCTACAACACCGAACCCACCTCCAACAAGGAGCCCGCCTTCTACAACACCGAACCCAGCATCCAATGTGCAGCCACACCTTCAGCAGGACCGGCCCCCAATAAAAGATATACCAGCTATATAGGTTGTATAGTTGATATGCATGATCCTATAAATTTTTTATCGATGAACCTAAATCCATGCAGGAGCTGCTCTACAAGCTGGAACTACTCCGGGCGACCGTTATACTGCCCAGCAGGAGCAGATTACGAAGTTACGCTCCCAGGGCCAGAGCCAACAGGACCGACAATGACCCCTGCTTTGTTGTATGTCTGATCCAGATACATACAAATCACGTGGTCTATCATTCTCTTGTCGATCGATCTATATGCATGAATTGCAAAACCGAGCTGCAGGAAAGCCAGCAGCAGGAACCGGCCGCGCAGGAGCAGCAGCCTGCGCCGATCCAGCAGCAAGCTGACTCGGGAGTAGAGGTACTGAAGAGTCCCTCCGCCCGAGGATCCAAGCGACCACACCCCGTGACCCCACCGAAAGACAAGAGCTCCGGAGCTGTGCAGAAGCAGAAGAGCCCGAGTGACGACGATGATGGCGACGACGGTGTGCCGAAGATCATGAGTCTCTCTAGCATGACAAAGTTGGAGAAAGAGAAAGTGAAACGAATCGTGACGCCAAAGCGGGGGTCGGGAAACTTGGAGGTGCCTGAGAACATCTTCGAGATGTGGAAGGATGCAGGAAAGGGGCGGGACAATTTGTTCCGTATGTGGGCAAAAGCTGGTGGGGTGAAGGCAGGAAGGGGCACAACCATAGGAGAGATCGGCTAGTGTGTCCATTTGCGGAATTCCATATCATCCCTGGGTCCCTGAGGCTGTTTTTATGGAATCCGTGACCATCCTCACGAAAACCTCGAGAAGCAAGAAGCTGGAAGTCAAGGGCGGCTTCTACAGCAAAGAAGATATGAAACAGGAGCTGGGCTACTCCCTAGCAGCATGCAGCTCAAGCCCAAAATAATAAGCATCGTGGCATCCCTCTCCCTAGCTGGCCTCCCCAAGCCGAGGACCCGCGTGGACAAAGTCGTCGCCTGGGCAACCAAGAAAGGGCTGTTTCGGCCACTATGTCTGCAGTATGCATACATGCATGCAATGTATACATGCATGTCTTTGTTCGTGTGCTTTGTGGCTGTTCTGTTCGTGCCACTGATTGTTGTGCCCAGGCTGTCTTTGTACTTTGCATGCATGCCCTAAACCCTATAAGCCCTACACCCTAAACCCTAAACCCTATAAACCCTAAACCCTACCCCACTCTTTTCCTATAAGTCCTGCACACGCAATGGATCCTATATTTCGAACCATTTCAGAGTGAGCCACATAGATGGGCCCGTGAGTCCGTTTCTCGTATCTAGGGAAATTCTCATTCTCTAGTGTACCCGATCTATGTGGGTGTTGGGGTTGCTGCTGGCTATGTATACTTCCCTTAGCTTCCCTTAATAGTACCCCTAGGTGACCTTAAAATACAAAAAATCCCTGTCCTGATGCCTGCACGAATCCATCACAGAAACCCAGGACCTGCGAGTACGATGACGAGACGCTCGAGTACTGGGTGAACATCAGGACGACCGGGACGTTGACGAAGGAGGACACGGAATGCCTTGAAAGGCAGCAGAACTACCAGGGCGAGGGAGGGGACGATCTGCGCTTCAAGCCGGGGGTTCATGTCGATGGCTTCATCTTTTCTGATGATGACCCGATGATTCATGGCTCCGAAGCGAAGCGTGAAGGTGGCCAGCACAAGAGTGCCCCCGAGCTTGGATGTTCGTATCACTGCTAGCATGGTAACCTGGCTTGCTGCAATCTAAATGACTACTGTCGCTTGATGATCTCGCTACACTTATCTTAGGCTGCGTCCCAAATCAAAGAGTACATGAAGCAAGTGCTCAGAGCGAAAAGCTCCATGGAGGGCTTTGTGGACAAGATCCGGACCGCAGTGCCTAGGGGGCCTAAGGAGGGAAAGGCCAAACAGTTGCTAGCCTGATCCTATCATGTCCACTTGAATTATAATTTCTATACAAGCTCGGTTGTTGATGTGTTTTATGCTGTGTTTGCTTCCGCAATGCAAGACCTGAATGAGGCTTGAGAAAATGGACGAGATCATCAAAGAGTATGAAACCCTCTATGAGGAAATGAGTGAAATCCAGGCTGAAGGCCGCACAACGGGCTGGTCTGACAAGCTTCTGGCTTGCATGTGATCCCAATTTTGTAGCCGTTACAATGTACAGCTGTTTACCTCTTGCATCTGCTATATTTGTGTCTAGGAATGAAAAACGTTCTACAGCCTTTCCCCAAATATCTATAGTGAAGCTTTGACCTCGCCGAGGCTGCAAGCTGAGTGCCAGAAGTTCTATTCCCGGGCTCAGAAGCTGAAGCTTGGCAAAAGTCATGATGACCCGTGTTATTCCTATGCCTCTGGCATTGTGATCGACATCTGTATATGACATGCAGCCGATGTATTGCTTGTGGCCGATGCCTTCCTATCTCCTAGCTTAAGCAAATGTTTTCCGCAGAGTAAGCACAGACTCTCGAGGATGGCGAAGTCTACCACCCTCGAGGCTTCCAACAAGCTCAAGTCTCAGAGGGCCTGCCTTCAATTAATATATAGCTCCATAAGTTTCTATATAGGTATAAACACTGTAGGGTTATAAGGGCTTCGCTTCTAGCTCGGGTTACAGCAAAAGTGTATGGATCTGTTTGCTGTACGTCTTGATAAGTTCAGCTACATAGATTTGATAATGCTCAATTCAGGGGATCTGTTGGATTGCAGGATTGAGCTCTGGGTGAACTACTGAATCTACCATAAGTATTTCCTGCCTTTCGCGATTTCTATGTGGGCATACTTTATGTTGGGCTCAGGGGTTGGGGTGCAACTGGATCGGCGAGAGAGAGAGAGAGAGAGAG